CTTATCCACTTTATTAAACTCCCTATCCAACGACCGGAAGTACACTAGCTCATACTCGCCACCCTCCTCATCCGCCATCAAAAACGTCGTCCGGTACTTCTTCGTCCCATCTCTGTTCACCGAGTTCACCAGAATCGTCTGCTCCTCCGCATCCGGCGGCGATCCAGGACTGGCAAGCCCATGGCTGTGGCTGTGGCGAAGTGTCAGACCACTGAACGCCCTGTAGAGTGTCAGAGCCCTTTTGAGCTGGCCAGTGTGGCTCGGGGGGTGATTTTTGGCGTGGGTTTTGTTGAAGGTATCGATTTGCTTCAAAAGGGACTTGAGAAAATCGTAATCCATGTAAGCTTGGCGCCATTCGGGAACCATTTGAGCGGTAAATTGTTTGCCGAATTTCATTTTGGTGATGATTTTAGATGATCATAAGAACCCAATAAAAATGCTGTGTGTTTTTTAATGGCGATTTTGGGGTATTTATAAGTGAATGATTCCAAATATGAAAGAGACATTTCAAAGGGAGTCCCTGTTTTTCCTTGGCATTTAATTCATTGTTTGACTGTGCGTGATATTTCAAACCTAAAACAGGGAGAGAAGAAACCACGTCATGCAAATGGTGTGTGCAAAATGAGAAAAAACGAGAACCCGAGTCGGTTTGTTTTCGTCACTTCACTGCCTTACCTAACGTGATAAACATTTTTTTTTCATTCTCAATTTCGATTTGTTTTCTTGTTTGAAATTTATGAACAATTTAATGTCCGTTTAATTCGTTGGTTGGATTGGCAATAATTTGGGAGAAGGACGACGGAAAGGAGTAGGGAGCAATTGGAGACAAGATTATATTCCATATTCTCGTTTCTGTCAAATTCTAGTAGGGTTATATTCCACATTCCCATCTCACCCGAACTGTCGGCTAGGATTATGTTTCACGTTCCCATCTTCATCTCTTCGCTATGCTCCATCTCACTTTTTATATATATATAAAAGAAAAAATATTCTCGAATCTTTACTCTAATCACGGTAAAGATATATAGATTGTAAGAATGGAGAATGAAATAAGAGTGGAGATAGGGAACGTTTTCCAGTCACTCCAGACTCCATCTCACGCTCAAATGTATGAATAAATATGAAATTATTATTACTCGAGATAATTGTGGGTTGTGTTTTGGTAAGCGGGCTCCTATTTAAACTGAAATAAATTTTATAAATAGCTCCTCTACTAAAATAAAAGATTGACTCCTAATAAAGATGAATAGCTGACTAATTCCATCTAATAATAACTCACACTAATTTTGACAACTATATAATTGTATTTTAATAAGTGATTAATAACTATTAAACCATGCAAGTAAGAGCCCTCAGTCATATGACTAGTTTAAAGTACCCATCCCTAACTCGAGAGGATAGATAAAGAGATTCAGGTGAAATACAATATAGATCCAACTTTTTATTTATTTGTGGTATGAAATCTCAGATCAAAACATTATTTACAAGGGTGTGAAAACCTCCCATTTGTAAACGTGTTTTAAAATTTTAAGAGAAGACTCTCGAAATAAAAATTTATATAACACAATATTTACTAATAGTGGGTTTGATCAGTTACACGTGTGCTTTGAAAACCATAGAACAATGTTGGTCTTAGACTGTCCTTCATATTGGTTAATGAAAATGATTTAATATTTAATTAAACAAAGACTTATACGAATCAAATTTTCAACCTTTCCTCGGCTTCAAGTTTTAGACCAATAATAATAATAATAATAATAATAATAATAATAATAATAATAATAATAATAATAATAATAATAATAAAATAATAACATGACCAAGTCTTCCTTTAATTACCCATATATTTTTTCCCATAAATATGATTAACATTAAATATAGTAAGAAATCCTAATATAGATAGAAATCCAAAAATAATTTAGATTAAATTAATAATCATGTTTCTAAAAGAATGATCGAGTCATTAGAATTAAAATAATAATTAATGTGTTGTCTATTAAATTTTAAAATTCGTAAGATAAATAAATAAATAAATATATATATGGTCAAATATCACTGTATCATGCTTAACTCAAGGGTGAACGATAATATTTAAAAAGTTTACTAAATCAATTAAAATCAATTTAGTCGTTTATTTGGATCGACCTGATTTGACTAATAAAATTACTCATTCTAACTAACTCATTGACAAAATTTATAATAATAAAAAAAAAAAAAAAAGAATTTTTTTTTTTAATAAAATGTCATAGTTTTGGATAAACTCATGTTATGCTTTTTTTTTTCCCCTTTTTTTTACTTAATATCTCTTAAGTGCAAGCAATATGATTTTTTAAGCATTAAAATATCTATAAATATCCATATTATGTATATAAATTAGGTAAATAAGGTAAATAATAATAATAATAAGTTGTATAATTTAATTATTAATTTTATAATTAGTTTAAAAAAAAAATAATAATAATAACTTTTCCAAGAGGTCAATTTTGTGCCAAACAGAAAGACTGTGGCATTTTCCAAAAGCTTAGCCAAATAAAGTTACAATAATTTATTTCAACCACTTTGTTTGAAATGGTTTCAACTTTTTGTAATTGCAAATAAACCCTTATTTATTTATTTATTTATTTATTTATTTTGCATATTTTGGGGGATTGGTTTCAATTATAATCCTCCAAGTGGGAAAATGTGTATTAAATTATAGACTTTAATTAAAGTTTACTACTAATTTTCGTAATTTCAATAACTTTATCTTATTTACAATTAAATTAATGAAATGTGGGCGTGTTGATCGGTTCATGACTATGAGATTATCACATTTTATTATTTTAATCACTCATTAATATTAAATTCATTTATAAAAGTGGCTCCTTTTTAAATAATTATAATAATGATGCTGACGTCATCCATGACACACTCTCATTTCACTCCAACGTAAATATCCATAAATATTATTTAAATATATATAAATATGGTGAAATTTGTTCTTAAAAAAACTTTTAAACTTCAATAAAATCTTTAAATTAAAAAAAAAATCTAAATAATACTCTTTTAACACTAGTTTTAAGATCCATTAATATTTATATATATATATATATTTCATTATTGTTCTTCAACTTCATAAAAAATTAAAAAATATCCTTATTATAAAAGTACCATTCGATATAAAAAAAATATTGAAAACGTTCTTACCGTCAATATATTAAATTTAGGATTTGACATTTCGAAATTTAGAGATATTTTTATTAATTTAGTCGGCCATGATTTTGGTCTAAAAACGTAAATATTAATTCTATGAATTGTCAAGCCAAATTCTATGAATTGTAGTCCACTTATTTTTAGTCCAATTTCAAATTAATATAAATATCTAAAACTTCAAAGTAGATATTAAAAATTAATTGTAATTTGTAAGTAATAAATAAAATTTATCAAATTATTTACTAATTTTGTCAAATATTAATTCTATGAATTGTCAAGCCGAAAATAATATCTTTGATAACAAAATCCACGTATTTTTAGTCAAATTTCAAATTAGTATAAATATCTAAACTTCAACGTAGATATTAAAATTAATAATAATTTTTATCAAATTATATCCACTATTTATTTAATTAAAAGAAACCTACCTTTCAATCGCGAAAATTAGAAAATACTATTTAAGAAGAAAAAAATAATAATAATTCCTTAATAAATAAAAATTATGATCTTGAGATTCCATGCTATGCTAGATATAATAAAAATCTAATACATATTGTGACAATTTAGACTTAGAGACATCATTAAATTTTATAAGAAAAAAATTATAATATAAGGTAAAAGAAATATTTGTTTAATCACGTGGGAGAAAATAATATAATAGAAGACCTAATATGGTCAACAGTATTGAAATTAGAGTAATTTCAATGCATGGTTTTTAAATTAATAAATTGGACCAAAGTCTTCAAATATTCAGTGGTCGTCCCTATGGTCGTCGTTTCAAAGCTCACGGCGGCTTTATTTAATACGCACTTGCACACCAAATAATAATATTTCTTTTTGGATAATTTAAAATTTAAAATTTAAAATAAAAAACTCGATTTACAGAGGTGGAAATACGCTAGAATGTTGAATGAATAGTCGATAGAGTATGGCTAAGAAACTTAACTAAATTAAGTCTGAATGAATGAATAGTCAGTAAAGTGGTGACGTAGAATAAATGTATGAAATAACAATGTAGAATATTGGATGAATACTCGATAAGACAATGACATAAAACAGATGATTAAGACGCTTGTTTGGATTAAGTTGGAAAGAATATAAAATATTGGATGAATAGTTGGTAGGGTAATGGTCTGACACAAATGATTAAGACACTTATTTCGTTTAAGTTTAAAAAAACAATATCGAATATTGGATGAATAGTCGATAGGACAGTAACGTACACACGACTAAGACACTTGCCTAGATCAAGTTTGAAAGAACAACGTAAAATATTGGATGAATAGTCGATAGGGTAGCAACGCAGGACAAATAACTAAGATACTTGCCTAAATGAAGTCTAAAAGAACAACATAGCAATAACATAGGATAGATGACTGAAACACTTGTCTACGTTAATTCTTAAAGAATAGTGTGAATATTGGATGAATAATTGATAAGGTAGTGATGTAGAACAAATGACTGAGGTACTTGCTTAGATTATGTCTAAAAGAACAACATAGAATATTGGATGAATAATCGATCGGGTAGTGACATACCATCCTAGGGAACTTCGAATACAGACCTAGATCACTTGCACAAACAGACTTTTGGGGTGCTAAGATCCAAAGTCGATAGGGAAACATCCAAGATTGTACACTAAGGTCCCTAAACAATCACTTATTTAATAGCTCACTAATCTAGCTCCATGGCACCGAAAATGTATCAAGGCTCAAGTGATCGACGTGACCTTGAAAGCTGATTTTTCGAGTGTCAGTAGTAGGACCTTCTATCAATCGAAAAAGATTTTTGGTGACAACACTTAGAGATATCAAAAGTGATAATGCTAACATGAATAATCAATACGGTAGTGATATAGAACAGATGACTGAGACACTTACTAGATTAAATCTAAAAGAACAACGTAGAACATCGAATGAATAATCAATAAGGCAATGACGTAGAACAGATGACTGAGATACTGGCTTTGCTTTGCCCACTTTCACTATCTATCCATAAATCCGTTACGGTATTGGCAAAATTAACAATTAGTTCTATAATCTAGCCTATCTTTTTTCATCCCACCCAGTCATTGACATAACGCAGAGTTGTGGCCAATTGTTTCAACAACGAAAACTGATAAAATCAAACCCTGCATACTTTTCACTGATTGACTGTGTAGAACATTGACTATGTCCTTTGAACCAGAGCAGTGAGTTTAGACCAATGGCTGCTTTCTTTTTTGTACGGTTCTGACGAAATCCTGGGCTCATTCTTTCTAGTGAAGACTAGAAGTTTCCTGGAAAATTACAGATACAAAGCTACAGTAAATTTGAATTTTGTTACTCTTTAATGTTTTCACATTTACCTGATTCTGCTCTCCAATAAGCTTCATGCTTTTCTCCTCATTCAACTTCTACGGCCAAACTGCATAATTGAACCGTTACTGCTTTCATGGGGAAGAAAAATAAAGTCAGCAAAAGATATTATTCAAGAAAAGGTCGATTCTTGTCTCAGTATGACATAATCACAGCCGATATATCTACAGCTATCACTGTAACTGAGTAATAATTGGCTAATAAGAGTGTAATTCTTTGAAAACCTGTAACATATCACTCCTTCACCGCAGCCATACGAGTTTCCTCCAACCCAGCTAGCTCCCATCTCGAAGATGACAACCCAGCCATTGATAATCATTTTAAGGAATAGGAGGGATGTTGATTTTCATGTGGTAAGTGTTACATGCGGTGTGAATTAGGTAACCAACCACTATTCGTCTCTATATGGGGTGATTGTAGAAAATGGTTATCAAGGTAAGGATAACACACTGTGTGAATCGGGTAACCAACCATACTTGTCAATAGTTATCAAGATAAGGGTTACACACAGTGTGAGTCGGGTAATCAACCATTAATAGTCATGTTAAGGCGTAAGGCTGGATATTGATTTTCATCTGCTAGTGGTGGGCTTGAGATATTACAAATGGTATCAGAGTCAGGACCGAGCGGTGTGCCAACGACACTGGGACTCCAAGGAGGGTGGATTGTGAGATCCCACATCAGTTGGAGAAAGAAACGAAGCATTCCTTATAAAGGTGTGAAAACCTCTCCCTCTCCCTAGTGGACAATATTTACTAGTAGTGGGCTTGGACTATTACACGACTATTCTCTTGAAATAACCATTTGGCTAACTAAAACGGACAATATCTACTAGAGGTAGACTTGGGCTGTTACTCGACTATTCTCTTGGAATTACCGTTTGACTCTATTACATTTGGTTGTCAAGGTAATTAGTAAGATATTAAATCCTAATGTAAGAGTCAAAGCTCAATGCTAGCATATATTGTCCTCTTTGGGTTTTCCCCTTCGGGCTTCTCATCGAGGATTTTAAAATGCGTCTACTAGGAAGAGGTTTCCACACCTTATAAGAAATGGTTTGTCCCCTCTCTAACCAATGTTGGATCTCACACCTAAATAGATGAGTACTATAGCTGAAACTCAATCCTTCTAAGGCGGTAGCCTAAATGACTCATAGGGTTCATAGATTTAAACATTTTATACTTGTAACTATCACTTCTGTTAGATCAAACAGCAGAGAAGTGGAAAGCATGGGATTGCTTTAAGTTCTTAGAGAAAAGAAGCAAAACTGTTTCACTGAGTGAGTTTAGAAGCAAGCATAAAGCTCATACCTCGATCAGCTGTATTAACATCTGGAAAAATTGTTGACATCTCACATCTGATACAAATGATAACATTTTATGGCAGGATACAAGTTAAATACAAACATATAAATTATGAACAAATATGCTTGGATGTCCTAGGGAGAGTTCTGAAGATATTATTTATATTGCTTTGTATAAAAACTTTCAGGCTTGAGTATCGACAAAACCGGGCACTGTCCAATGAAAGTGAGAAGGTTTGCTCACCACATTGAAGCGGAAAATTTCCCCTGGGGCGCCACGAAAGTTTGGTTCTTGATTCGGTCAGTCGCAGTCAAAGTACTTTGCTCGAGTTACTGTGGCTTAGTGAGCCGTTGCAGTTTGTTCCCTCACAGAAGCATTCGTGAGGATTTGCATAAAAGTAATGTTCTTCCTTTGGTTTGTCTGGATTTACTCTTCGTTGCATTGGTTGTCCCTGTCTTTGCTCGTGAGCTGATCTTACAGCAGCTGCAAAGGCATCCCAAGGAAGTGTGCCATTCTGATGCATATCCAGTAATTCCACAAGTTTTTTTCTATCCAGTGTAATTGTTCTCTTAAATCCCAGGTATCTGTGAGCAGTATGAATTAAATCAGGAGAGTTTTGAAAACCTCAAGTAGAAATTAAAGACGAAATTAAAGACTGGATGACCATGAATAATACAACTGGAAGAAAACGATAATTGTTCGGCGAGAAATGACGTGGCACACCTGCGGTGACCTTCAACAAGTCTTGCCATGTTACCATCATAGGTAGGAATGAAAGTGTTACTGGCGATAGAGACCATAAAATCTAAAGCTGCCATTTGCGATGAATGATTCCGAAATAGATGCAATTCTTTTGGGGATAGCAAGGTTTCCTTTTTCACCTAAAATACAGTAAGGTTATGAATCTTATAAGAATAACATTCACACTAGTGTTTCAATGTAACATCCTAAACTATATTGTCCGCTTTGGACCGATGCGTATCGTCGTCAGCCTCGCGATTTTGAAACGCATTTGTTAGGGAGAGGTTTTCACACCCTTATAATGAATGCTTCTTGTTCCCCTCTCCAACCGATGTGTGATCTCACGATCCACCACCCTTGGAGGCTTAGCGTCTTCGCTGGCATATTGCTTGGTGTCTGGCTTTGATACCATTTATAATAGTCCAAGCCCGCTGCTAACAGATATTGTCCGCTTGGGCCTGTTACTTATCGCATCAGTCTCACAGTTTTAGAACGCGTCTGATAGGGAAAGGTTTCCACATCCTCATAAGATATACTTCGTTCCCCTCTCCAACCGATGTGAGATCTCACAATCCACCCCCTTTGGGGGCCTAGCGTCCTCGCTGGCCCACTGTTGGGTGTCTAGTGCTTATAACATTTGTAACAGCCCAAGTACACCGTTAGCAGATATTATCCACTTTGGCCCGTTACGTATTGCTGTCAACCTCATAGTTTTGAAACGTATTTACAAGGGAGAGGTTTCCACACTCTTATAAGGAATGTTTCGTTCTCCTCTCCAACCGATGTGAGATCTTACATTCATAAAGATGGCTTTCTTGGCTACTAGGCAGTGTCCAACGACAGCTTCACTTTGTTCTCACAAAGGGTTCACGGGAAGTCATGCAGATTAAAAGTTTCAGCCAATTGTCTTCATAGACAGTCACATCACATCAAAAGGTGAAATTTTAAGCACAAGATATAATGATGGTACTCACAATCAGTGGGAAGGCTTCCCTGAGAGCTGCAAGTCTCCGTTCACTACCATAAACCTCACCAGCAGCAATATATATCTGCGTCTCCTTGTTAAAACCCATGGCCTGTAAAGTCAGTGCTGTTTCCTCTGGGGTCAGAGGACACAGACCTTGTGATCTCCTCTTTTCAGACGAGATCTCTTTCTCCCTCCACCAAGGGAATGCATATCTGGATAAATTTCAACTATAGATTACTATTTCACCTAAGCAGCATCCATCAGCTTGGTATAACCACAATGATAGAAGAGAAACTAAAAGGTACATATACACCAGAATATTTAGGCATATATGAACAATAATAATGAAAAATCTTCAGTGATTGGATCCTCAGAAGTTTAATTTTCAAATTTACGAACCTCATCCGTTTGAGCTCATCAGCTTCTTCCTTTGTACAGCCATGTGTACAACCCGAAAAGGCCAGCATATCCATCTCGTATCTCAAATGCAAGACCACAATAGGTCCCTTTTCTTGAAGTAGACGAATTAACTTATAACCCAGCGTCTCAATCTGGGGCGAGAATTTCAGTGCCTGGAAATTGACACGACACCTGAGTTTCTGTAGATAAAGTGGGATTCCGTTGTTTGCCAAGCGTGCATCTGTTTTATTAAAATGTAACACCTTATGCTTCTTAAAGAGAGGAAGAATCTGCACAATGGGTTTTAAGGCATTAGATTATGAAGTCAAAAGGCAAAATAGAGAGTATAAATAAGAGCACAAGAAGATGGTTCTATTGTTGAAGTACTACTCAAAACACCTTGTATTATTTTTAGTTTATATTCATACTATACTTTTTTTTTTCTTTTCTCATTCAAGTACTACTCAAAACACCTTGTATTCAGTTGTGCAAAGGCTTTATGGCCAAGTGAATTACATTTCTTTCAGAATTAATATAAATTTTGCCGTGATATTCTTTTAATTTGAAAAAAATGCGTAAGAATTAGAGGCTCCTCCTTTAGCCCTTTGTAAGGGCCCAAGCTCACCGCTAGCAGATATTGTCTACTTTGGCTCGTTAGGTATCGTCATGAGCCTCAGTTTTAAAACTTATCTACTAGGGAGAGGTTTCAACACCCTTGTAAGGAATGTTTTATTCCCCTCTCCAACTGATGTGGAATCTCACAATTCACCCCTTGGGGGCCAGCGTTTTTGCTGGCACACCTGGCTTTGATACCATATGTAACAGCCCAAGCCCAAGTCCACCGCTAGTAAATATTGTCCGCTTTGGCTCGTTACATATCGCCGTCAGCCTCATGGTTCAATTGCTATTGCCAAGCCTAAGAATCTAGTAACTGGGAGACCTTCTTACAGGGTAGGTTATGATACTTCCAGAAAATTTTGGAGGTCAATAATAATTTTCAAAGTGTCCTATTTCCTAGCCTGTATAAAATCTCTGAGAGTGAACAGAAGTGAGTTCACATGCCAATTTGGGGGGCAGTTGGCCTCACTGGGTTTGAGAAAAGACTACAAAATTCATAGTATTCCCTAGCCAATTCAGACCTAACATTCGCTCAACAAGATAATAATCTCAAAGCTGCACTCAATTGGTTTCTACATATAACTTGGTAATATCACAGATTCATCATTTGACCATCCAAGGGACCTAGATTTGCATCTAATAAGTAATATGAAAAACTAGGGTACACGTTAGAAAAAATAGTGCAAACCTGTGTTAAATAATATTTTTCATTTGACCAGCTAACAGGAGGCATGGCAAATTGTGTAAATCCATGTTTCCTATTGAACTTTTTAGGTAGTCTTCTGATAATGTGGACTTCATCTCTCAGTGACTCGATAAAATGGCTCACATTAAATACGTCATCAAAATTACTGCACGAGAGCTTTAGTTAACATATTGAAGTCTATGTAAAAGTAAGCAACCAAGCTACAGAAAGCAAGAAAAGGAATATACCTAGGGTCTGCCCAAAAAGATGCTTTATCAAGTTCTGGAACAACCAATGTCAAGTTCAAAAGGCGAGCAACAGTCACCATATCACAGATCTGAAACGCTTAATTAGATGAGTCCAATATATCATCCTTTCAAGGAAAAGAACAAAAAATAATATAGGCATAAATTAGGAAGATGGGGGAAAGAAATAGCAAGTCAAAAAGTGCACACCGCAGCACGCATTTGATTTAAGCCTCCATTGCAGGACACTCGAAGATAACCATTGCTTGAATAGTTTCCTGCACAAATTGAGATCTTTAAGTCAAATTCTCCCCAAAGCAAATAGTGGAAACGATAATTTTAGAGATTGAAGTGGAATGTATGAGTAATCCAAGTAGTTCAACTGTGATGCCAATGAAGGATAATTTATTCCATGAATTAAAAGGGATGATAATAGCAATGCTTGAAATAGGATAACACTTCTATGAAGTATGAAATAACCTTGGTTCATTAGATAAATTTTTTTGACATTAGCTATAACTCTGTAATATTGTTGAGGATTATTGAGAGGAGTAGTCTCACATTGACTAATTAAGAGAACGATCATAGGTTTATAAGTAAGGAATATTATCTCCTGAGGCCTTTTAGGAAACCAAAAGTAAAGCCATAAGAGCTTATGCTCAAAGCAGACAGTATCATACCATTGTAGAGGATCACGATCTTAACATGGAACCAGAGTCATGTCCTTAATTTAGTCATACTAATAGAATTCTCAAGTGTCGTACAAAGAAATTTTGAACCTCGAAGGTATAGTCAAAGGTGACTCAAGTGTCCAACAAATGGTGTACTTTGTTCGATGACTCCAAAAAAGGAGTCGAGCCTCAACTAAGAGGAGGTTGTTCGAGAGCTCCAGAGAAGGAGGCATTAAGAGGAGGCTCTATGGTATACTTTGTTCGAAAGGAGGATTGTTGAGAATTATTGAGAGGAGTAGTCCTTCATCGGCTAATTAAGAGAAAGATTATAGGTTTATAAGGAACAATCTCTCCATTGATATCAGACCTTTTCGGGAAACCAAAAGCAAAGTCACGATGATTCCTAACTAAGAGGTGTTTGAGAACACTCCACAATGCATGCTCTTAAGCTAAACAAATCCACCAGCAGAACAGTTCAGCGATCCTATTCCATAATGAACCAAACTCAATTATGGCTACCCTTGAATGCATTATTTTCACATTGAAACATTGAGACATGGGAAACTAAAAGCGTCGCATACAGCAGGAACAAACGTAATTATCCAGAGGTCACAATTAGAAGTTTCAAAGAAAAAACATGCCACCATCTCCGATAAGAGAGAGACAGATTGAGGTTAAGGAACTAACTAGCTGGAAGAAATGGCGTCGATTGGATGGACTCGTCGACGTGAAGAGAGAGCGGAATCCCAGTCACTTGCGAAATCCGATTGGCTATATTGGATATAAAATGGGGATGCCATAGCTTCCCAAATGCAACGATCTGGATCAAAAATGTCCAAACCAAAATGCTGAAGCAGATACGAACAAACGAGACCTGCAAACGGGTCCTCGGAATTACAGGACCTGGGAGCTTATCGCACCTAACCTGTATACTCTCAGATCTATCTTCCATTGCTCCGCTAAACACCACATTGCTGCCTCATTCAAAGTCCGAACCGATTCCCACGTTCAAAAAACTCATTCTGTCGCATAAGATTTCAGATTCGCATCACCGTTACCACTCAAAATCCAAGAACACAAACAGCTTACAGGAAATCAAATTGTCGCGATCATGCAAATGGATTCAGCTCGGGGAATATAATCTCAAAAGATGGAAGATCGAAAAGGCTGAATCGGGCAATCAGCAATGAACATCAGCTAACGGGCTATTTGAAATCGTATAAAAACGGGAAAACATGAGAAATGATGGAGGTGCGGAGTGAAGGTGGCGAATCACGAGCTTAAAATGAAGAAAATTAAGCCCGAACAACTAAATAAATGCCTTCTCACTAAACTTTCCCGCAAATTTCTGAAGCTCAACAAAAAATGAACAAAATGGAAAATCAAACAAACGCTGAAATGTACGTGAGCGCTGGAAATTACTGACTAGTTTGTTGTTTTATTTTATGCCATTTTTGGAGAGATTCGTCTCATCTTCACCTGTCTTTGATTTTATTCTAATTTTTCTTCTGATTTGGACTAACGTAATTATTTTTATTGTCCAATTTCTTCAAAGAATTTTGAATTTTTGTAAAGTGAAACTAAAAGGCTAAATAAATAAATTATATATGAGATTTTAATTACAATTAATTTATATCCAAGAGAAGCAATTGAAGTACAAATTATTATGTAACCACTAAATATCAAAAAATAATCATGTTTATTCCACAATGTCATGCATCCAAAATAATTACTATAAATAGATAAATAATCATCATAAACAAACAATTGGAAATTATGTTTGAAGGAGACACTTTATCTGAAAATAATCTCACACCATTATTTTTCATAATGAAGATATAAATAATTGAAAATGATTAGATATTGATTGACAAGACATGTTACGGTTCAAAAAGGAATATATATATATATATATATTCCAACTCTGATACCATTTGTAACAATCCAAGTCTACCGTTACTAGTNACACTTTATCTGAAAATAATCTCACACCATTATTTTTCATAATGAAGATATAAATAATTGAAAATGATTAGATATTGATTGACAAGACATGTTACGGTTCAAAAAGGAATATATATATATATATATATATTCCAACTCTGATACCATTTGTAACAATCCAAGTCTACCGTTACTAGTATATATATATATATATATATTCCAACTCTGATACCATTTGTAACAATCCAAGTCTACCGTTACTAGTTATTGTCCGCTTTGGCTCTTACGTATTGTCGTCAATCTCACGGTTTTCAAAAGCGTCTATTAAGGAGAGTTTTCCACATCCTTATAAGAAATGATTTGTTCCCCTCTCCAATCGATATGAGATCTCACAGTCCACCTTCTTGGGAGTCCAGTGTCCTCGCTAGCACACCGCCTAGTGTCTGGCTCTAATACCATTTGTAATAGCCCAGACTCACCGTTATGAGATATTGTCCGTTTTGACCAGGTACATATCACCATCATCCTCACGGTTTTCAAATGCGTCTGTTAGGGAGAGCTTTCTACATCCTTATAAAGAATGTTTCGTTCCCCTCTCTAATCGATATAGGATCTCACAGTCCACCTTCTTGGGAGTCCAGTGTCCTCGCTAGCACACCGCCTGGTGTCTGGCTCTAATACCATTTGTACACCTTCTTGGGAGTCCAGTGTCCTCGCTAGCACACCGCCTGGTGTCTGGCTCTAATACCATTTGTAATAACCCAAGCTCACCGTTAGGAGATATTGTCCGTTTTGACCAGTTACATATCACCATCAACATCACGGTTTTCAAATGCGTCTGTTAGGGAGAGCTTTCTACATCCTTATAAGGAATGCTTCGTTCTCCTCTCCAATCGATATGAGATCTCACAGTCCACCTTCTTGGGAGTCCAGTGTCCTCGCTAGCACACCGCCTAGTGTCTGGCTCTAATACTATTTATAATAGCCCAGACTCACCGTTATGAGATATTGTCCGTTTTGACCAGGTACATATCACCATCAGCCTCACGGTTTTCAAATGCGTCTGTTAGGGAGAGCTTTCTACATCCTTATAAAGAATGTTTCGTTCCCCTCTCTAATCGATATGGGATCTCACAATCCACCTTCTTGGGAGTCCAGTGTCCTCGCTAGCACACCGCTTGGTGTCTGGCTCTAATACCATTTGTAATAACCCAAGCTCACCGTTAGGAGATATTGTCCGTTTTGACCAGTTACATATCACCATCAGCATCACGGTTTTCAAATGCGTCTGTTAGGGAGAGCTTTCTACATCCTTATAAAGAATGTTTCGTTCCCCTCTCTAATCGATATGGGATCTCACAGTCCACCTTCTTGGGAGTCCAGTGTCCTCGCTAGCACACCGCTTGGTGTCTGGCTCTAATACCATTTGTAATAACCCAAGCTCACCGTTAGGAGATATTGTCCGTTTTGACCAGTTACATATCACCATCAGCATCACGGTTTTCAAATGCGTCTGTTAGGGAGAGCTTTCTACATCCTTATAAAGAATGCTTCGTTCCCCTCTCTAATCGATATGGGATCTCACAGTCCACCTTCTTGGGAGTCCAGTGTCCTCGCTAGCACACCGCCTGGTGTCTGGCTCTAATATCATTTGTAATAACCCAAGCTCACTGTTAGGAGATATTGTCCGTTTTGACCAGTTACATATCACCATCAGCATCTCGGTTTTCAAATGCATCTGTTAGGGAGAGCTTTCTACGTCCTAATAAGAAATGTTTCGTTTCCTTCTCCAACCGATGCGGGATCTCACAACCTTTCTTTCTCTAACTAAAATGATGTACAGCTCTCGTGAACACCAGGTCAGTTATTCCTAATAGTTTAGGCTAATACAAATTATCCATTTCAATCATACTACGACCAGCTTCTTTTCTTGCCTTCTCAGTTTGCATTTGAGATGATCTAATTCCTTCTTTCATTCTGTTTTCTTCCTCAATTTGCTGATACTGTGTATAATCAGACAGTCTCCCAGCAACGGCATATGTACTAGACAGGAGCATTGAATCCGTGGGGTGTTCATCGTTTAAATCAACTAGCATTCTCATCGCAGACTCTCCCAGTTCAACATCTCCATATACCCTACAGGCTGCCAGCAGCGCACGCCAACCCGTTATATCGCCCTCGGAAGGCAAGCTCTTGATTAGCTTATGAGCTTCCTCCAACAACCCTGCACGACCAAGAAGATCAATAATGCATCCATAGTGCTCAATCTTTGGTGTCATTCGATATTCATACACCATTCTCTTGAAACATCTCATACCCTCTATCACTATGCCTCCATGACTACAAGCATTCAAGACAGCCAAGAAAGTTATTTCGTTGGGCCTAAAACCCTCCTCCTCCATCCTAAACAAAGTGTCAATAGCCTTCCTTGTCTGACCATGAGCCCCATAACCAGTGATCATGGCGGTCCAAGTCTTTACATCTTTATCCTTTATCTTATCGAAAATGTCGATCGCCTTGTCTAGGAACCCACATTTAGCATACATATCAATTAGAGCTGTTCCAAGAGCAGTATCTAGAACAAGTCCTTCCTCCTCCACATAATGGCCAAGGTATTTACCTGTACCAACAGCACCGAACGTAGAACAAGCTGAAAGTAATCCTGCCAATGTGGATGAATTGGGTTGCTTTCCTTCATGTTTCATGAGATGAAGTGAATCTATAGCGATTTCTAACATGCCATTTCTAGCATAGTTATCTATCAAACAATTCCAGAGAACAACATCCTTCTCAGCAACTTCATCAAAGATCAGCTGTCCTGATTCCAAATCTTTAAATTTTGCATACATATTAATCAAACAAGTAACCACATTGAGATCAGAACATAAACCCAGCTTAATACATTGTCCATGAAGAGACCTTCCATCTAAGGAATAGCCGACATCACCCACAGCAGATGAAACAGTTAATACTGTATAAGCGCCGGCGATCAAACCTCTCCTACACATTTGTCTAAAAAAATCTAAAACAACAGTGGGCTGAGATGCATGAAGATAACCACCCATCAAAGTATTCCACGATACCAAGTCGTTTCTTTGAGGAATTTCATCAAACAGTTTACGGGCATCTCCAATTTGGCCACACGCGCAGTAAAAATGTAGAAGCATGTTATTTAGATGACTGAATAAACCATGCCCAGATCTATGAACAATCCCATGAATCCCCTGCCCAGAATTAATTGCTAATTCTCGAGCACAGGCTTTCAGAATTGTTATGAAAGAGAACTCATCAGGCAAGAAGTCCTGATTCCTCAGGTCATTGAAAATAACAAAAGCTTGTTTTGAATCGTCGCTATTAGAATAGCCTCTAAGCATAGTATTGAACATAAAGAGATTCGGGTTTCGTATAACCTTGAAAATGGAAGCTGCATAATTGATATCCAGTATGGTGGAAGCAAGAAGTTTGCTTAATGTGAAAGGGACGAGGTCAAGAGCAGTCTTGACCATGTAGCAGTGGATTTGAGAGATATCTGAAGTTCCATTGCATGATTTCAGTAGAAAAAGTAGCTTTTGATCATCTGAAGATACGCCATGGCCGAGATTTTTGGACCAAATGTTTAAATTCCGCCGCAGGCACAAGGCATGGGATAAGCTCATGAACCTGGGTTGCTTGAAGAAGGTTTTGAAGCTCAAAAACACGATGACAGGCCGATCCCTACAAAGTAAGACATTGAATGCCGTGAAATTCAGTATCGATCAATAATGTTTGTAGTTCTTGTAAACGAAACCTAAGAGAAAGACGTACCAGATTGTTTTATAACATGGACGCAAAAAATTCCGGAAATCGTTTCCGGAAATGAAATGTGATTTCATAAAAATATGGACTTCGCCTCAAAATTGCAAATGATAATAATAATAAATAATAATTTTCTTTTTTAAAAAAATCCCCTTTCATAAAATAATTTTAAAAGTATTATAATAATTTAGTTCTTGAATTTTATCAAAGTCGGCTGATTTAGGGAATGATCATGAATTCAAGAAATATCTCTTCATTGGTATAAGACTTTTTGAGAAAGTCGGGAAGCAAGAGAACTTATGCTCAAAGTGGACAATATCATGAATTTAGAGAATGATAATAGATTTATAATCAAAGAATACAAATCAATATTGAGAACTATTTATAAGAATATCATGTTTAAACAATGTCTTTGTGTTGCTTTATAAACATATATCAAGTGAAATGAGCACTAGCAAGAGCATGGATCAAAATAGGGTAAAAAACCCATTATACAAAAATATAAAAATAATGGATAGTAATAATACAATTATTTAAAATAAAATTTGGGTTTAAAAAATAAAAAAATAGTTAAAGTAAGTAAACTTTAAAAATAAATAAAAAAGGTGAAAAAGCACTTCCTAGTTCATCCCGCCGGCAAAAAGCGCCGGGCATTGATATACTGCACTTGCAAGGGAAAATCAACTAAATCCATTTTTTACATGAAAAGATAAATA